TGAAAATCGAGATTTCAAGGTTTTTTGGGAAACATGAAGCCATACAAAACCTGAATCAAACGTATCAAAAAGGAAGTATAGGCAGCATGTAGTCAGAAGTCGACACATTCAATCAAAAATCAGCAAAAAGAATCAGAAAGGAATTAGCAAAAAAGAAGTGAAATTCAAAGACAAGTTAAGATAGTGCGTCTTCAAGAAGTAGAACAAGTCAAAAGCGTCAAATTTGGAGGGCAATCTATCTATGACTAAGCTACGGAAGCTCAGAATTTGCTAAGACTTTGTACAATAGGATAATCCAATACGGTGAACAGAGTATGATATTCATTTCTCGCTCAAATGAATCTCATTCCTTGATCTTACGGAAGAGGCCTTTTCAATGCGAAACGGGTCTCAATTTTGTGATCAGCATGTTCAATAACCCCCCATAGACCAATTTCAGCAAATCTAGACGCAATCTAGGATTTTTGCCATTATACCGTAAACCTACCGTAACCTTACAAAAGATGGCAAAATTCGGCAAAGATGTCTGCCTTTGCGGTTTAGATCATAATCCTTATATTGCCAGAAAATGAATGCGCTACGTTCAAAAAGGAGTTATAAAAGTTGCATTACCATATGTGCCAACCTAGTATAAGTAGAGCATTACATAGAATAGGGGATCTCTATCTCCGGTGTTACAGTATACGCTCGATGAAATATTGAGAAATATCAAAAAATTTCTCTTATATTTGCAGGAAAATTAACCTTTCCTCATACCGTCCCCATCCGCCTTTTCCCGTTGAGCAACTCTGATTTCGTCACTCCTGCAATTCAACAATATGGAAACTTCTCGGGACTTTGTGTCGATTTCCATACTCTCCTTTGTTTTGCTTCTAAAGCTGCCAAGTTCTGTTTTGAGAAGTTGTATCTGAAATGGCAATCTATACAACTCAAAAGACAGCCGTAACTTGTCAAATTGCTACAGCCTGCCCGTCAAATGTAGCTGGCACAGAAGTTAAGAAAATTATTTTGAACGTTCACCTAATTTTTTTATAATCTCCGAAATGCTAGGAAACTTCATTCGAAAGTCAAGTATAGTATACAAGCTCTCATCGTTAGATGTACAACCCTCACTGGAACATGCTAAGTTATTCCACTGAAATAGGTGAACGATCCGTTTATGTGTCGCATTCCCTCTCAGTTGCTACAAAGCGAATTATATGTGATTCATATACCTAAATCCACTGAAATGTTGCAATTATATGTCAAATGCCTGCTGATGCAGCCATTCACATCTTTGATGCTCATGACGAGAGATATGAATATCATGATAGCTTGGTCTACGTGAGTAGTCTGTGAGATAGTTACCTATCTATATAGATAGTATCTAATATGCTATTGCAGAAAAATGTAAGAAGTTCTGAATCTGAGAAAGCTTGGACTTGAGAAAACTCGTATGAATAATTGAGTTTTTTATGAGGTTTTCGTTGCCATACATAATCCTCGGCCGGTAGTAATCCCCCCGACCTGGCGGCAGGTCTCGTCGGCAGGTTGCTGGCACCTTTCCGCGAGGTGGCCAGAAACTAAGAACCGAAATTTAGGCCTTCCCAGGCCTTTTTTCAAAAAATTTTCGCGATAAAGTTGCCGCCTCGACTCTGTAGAAAACTTCATAAAAATCTGCGGCTCCAGAACTCCTCCTTTAGTAGAATATCTGGAATTCCAGGAGGAGCTGCCGGCAACTTCGCGATGTCAGTTGCCGGCAACCTGCCGGCAGGTTGCCGGAATCCGCGAGATGGCGGCTGCCGGCAGGTCAGAGAGCACGGGAAATAGCGTGCTCTTTTGAGAGAGCGAGCTGCCGGCATCTCGACGTGCCCCTACCACGTCGAGGTGGTGGCACCTTTGCCGACAGCGTCTGCGAGTTTGCGAATTGCGGCGATATCACACAATTTACGTCAGGCGAAAAAATCAAAAATTCTACTTTTCATGAAAAATTATCATTTTTCTCATTATATGGGTTTTTCTTTTTTAAAATGACGATTTTCTTACAGAGAAAAAATCCACTAATGCCTTAGAATCATATAGAACATCATCTTTTTTGGCAATCCCTTATAAATCTCGTTTGCACCGATTTCGCTTCTCTCTCGCTCATATCAATCAGCTGTTCTTTCAGGTCAAAGTCTCTCACGCAATGTATCGATCCCTTTTATAGGCAGCCATTCACCAGTGCGTTCCTCCTATTGCTGGTGCAAAAGGCAATGGCTGACCGAATGATCGAATGGTTAACGTGGTGGCACTTCAAGCTAACGCACATAGGTTCGATCGCGCGCAAGGTAGAATTTTGCGGCTGTCTGCGTCATCAAAACTTAATGTGCGAAATGATTGCGTGCCAAGGTTACACAGGATTATTGAAACCTACAATCACTCCGCGAGCTGCCGGCGGAGTTGGCATCTTTCCGCGATGTGTGCCAACTTGCCGGCATCTATGATGCCACCAGGTAGGGTAGATTACTATCGGCCCTCATGACGCGAAAGATTGATATTTGTAGTAACTCGCGCATAGACATTCACATTGCAGGAAAAAGAAGAAATGAAAATAACAGTTCCACCCCTTACAGGGGACTTTCACTTGTCTCCATATATATGTTTCCTTTCCTGTCTAAACTTCATGATTTCTGCCATAGGGCTAAAGAAGGCGCGCACATAGGTATTTGATGTCTAAGACCTATTCCATTTCATATTACAGGCATTATGCTAGTTGCATCCTTCCTTTAGGATATTTTTCAGCAAGAATTCTACGTAGTTTTTTATTCTTGTCTAAATAAGCTCAAGCTGAAAGCTTGCGTTTTTACTCTACTTCAAAAAAAAGACAAGTGTTCGATCAAACCCCCCCCCCCCCCCCGCTCACATAGTGCAGCAGCACTACATTCTCCTACAATGGATTTTCAGAGAAGAAAGCCTGGCAAAGAGTTGCAAAGAAGACTCAGATGAGCTCCTTGTGCTTCCAGCCATCAACTATCATTTTTGATAAGTTGTGCCTTCACAACAAGAGCTGAATTGATGATAATGTGTAGTAATCAATCATAAATTATAGTAAAAATCGAGCTTTTTCATTCCATTAACAATGATAAAGGGGTTAAGGAAAAATCTCTGATCCAAATCTTACAGGGTTGTTTGATTTCAGTACGGTCTAGTGCTTTAGCTATAAAAAATTTGTCAAAAAAGTTATTTGGGGTTCACTCGAAAATCTGGGAGGATTCGAAATTCTTCAAGGAGCTGGGAGCAGCAGTGGATCTGCGAAACTTGGGAAATTGCCAGACTTTTTGGTAGCAAATTCCGAAGATTTTTTTCCCAAGCTTAAGAAAAATTCCACAGATTCTCCGACAGATACTCATTTTTATTGTGCACACAATGATATGTAAGAATCACGTAATAGATGATGAATTTCTTGGCACATGTGATGTCTGCTCATTTTTCAACATCATTACAATTGCACTTGATTGCAATCAAGCAAAAATTTGATTTACCATGTGTGCGACTAGTTTACATCGAAGCTTTATGTCGACAGGCTTTATCTTTACCAAATGGAATACTACGGTATGAATTCAGTGTATTTACAAAGCTATTACGATTATGAATTTCCTCATAAAGCTCTTGGATAAAGGGCTGTGCATTAGCTTTCGCATTACAGAATATCTCATATCATAGCAACAGCACCGTGTTCCTGCTACTCGTTCCAGAATTAATTTTTTGAGCTACTTTTCAGACCTACAATTCCAAACCTAGAGCTATTAGAAGAAAGCACTGTCATTCAGGTGGACTCTTTCTAGGAATCTTGTCAGAGGTTCTTAGCGCTGAATGGGGGCCTGGAAGGCATACTAGTCAGTCATGTCCTTGATGTTGTGGTTATTATGATAAACTTAATCCGGTCAGCAAAAAATGTGAAAATTGATGTCAAATTGGCGGCTTTGTAGATCATTTTTATGCGAATAGTAATTTTCATAAATTTACTAGATGACTAACTTTATTAGTGGCACACATTACGGTAACATATCTTTTTTCTCAGAAAAGTTCAGCTTTTTACATCTACCGGGAATGCTTGTTTGATCTCTCAAGTTCAATGTCCATGTGAAATTCTAAGTGACACTGTTTTCATGCAAAAAAATTGTATAATCATATGTGAGGCATTTTGCAACCACAGTAATCAGCTGTTAGTGTTCTCGCCTACTTCGGTTTCGTCAAGTTTATCTCATCGTTTACTGTACAAAGCTTTCTTGTTGAATGTGCAATACGGAACTGTCAAAATCCTTCCTGGATAATTTATAAAGCAGTTAGAGCATTCCTGTTCGTCTAAGTCTATTCATTCCAAACGAATCACTCTGTCATAGCAAAAAAAATATAATAGAAAAAAGAACGAATGCTCTCATTATCTAAGTCCAACTCTAGTTCTAATCGAATTCGAAAATCGGAATAACATTGAGGATGGCACAGCTTACCATTATTTCTCAGTTGATCTCTCGTTATCTGAAATACGTGATCAAGATCTAATTTTATTGCAACAAATGCATGAATTCTAAGCTGCTGGACTCAAGTCTTCTGCCAACTTTATGTCAAACACTTTTAATTTCGCCATTTTGGACCGATAATCAGTGCGCGTGATTGTCCGTTTTCAGGAAAAAATGAAGGTACTCTTTTATGAAGACAAGGCTCTGTTTCAATCCAACAATTGAATATTCTCGAAAGGGCACCATTATCTTTTTATCTTACCCCTCCTACCAATTAAGCCATTCTTTTTTCCAAAGCTTCCCGCTCCCTTATAATTTTTGAATTTGCTATTTATAGTGAGTACTCAGTTCTTGTGCTCTATCAAGTGTGATTTTTGAGCAGCTGCCATATACTCTATCAAAGCAGCCTCTACCAATCTGTTTGTGTCGCCGTACAAACTTTGGATTCATTTCAATAAGAGATTCTTGATGGAATTTTGTTTTGAGGAAATTATACACATTTATATCCATTAAATTTAGGGACCATCAAAACTAATGGGCGACCTCACCGTTGACGCTGCGCAGACATCTTTTATGTGTATTCTGTACATAGCATTAGGTTGGTAAACTATGAAAAATCATTCTCAGGAAGACTAGCTATGTATGTGAATTTTCCAGGTTTTACATCGATTATATGCAACTCTTTGAATTTATGGATATGGTTATCAAACCGTGATCTCAGGAGAAAGTACCTCTATCTCATGGCATTGGACGCCGGAGAATTCGTTAACGGTACTTACAAAATCCTGCTTTCCTGAAATTCTTAAGTGAATTTTCAGGAATCAGCTATGTGCTCTGTGGTTCTGGACGAGGATTAGGACTAATCACTGGTCGTCTGTCGCAACCGATTACCGTTAGACAATGCTACTTCAATGTAAGATTTTCCAACTCTCATAAACTGAGCTGACTTCAAACTTGAGATCTTCGTTTTACCGAAATACAACACTGGATTCATCAGTTTCGTATGTTGCTTTACGGTCCTTATAGGGTAGAAGGGGACAAAATTTAGGATTTGGAAAGGGGTCGATTAAGATGATGCTTGAGAGGTATCGTGCGAGATTGTAAATGGTACTCGAATCAGCATGCTGTATAAATCCGACGAAATCTCACATCAGAATTATGTTTTAGTCCATCTACCGTATGCCGCCTGCTAACTCCATTAGAGATTTGTGCGCAGAGAGAGTAAAGTAAACGCATAAAGTTACGGGGGAGGGGTTAGCTAGCATTGACAAACCTTTACAAGAGAATAATTAACCTGAGAATTGGCTGGCTGTAGCCACACTATCAAGCATTTTTTCCTCTTTTGTTTTGTAAGCAAACTTTGTATTTCTCGCTGAAAGTCACTTCTATTACATTGGAAAAAAAAGAATGTCGCTTGAAATTTCCTCGTCAGGCATCGCAATAAGACAAATCCCACAAATGCTACGGGATAGTATTCGATAGAGCAAAGCATGCAGTACAAAATGGCGTTACTGCCTTTGCACTAACTTATATCCAAATGAAGTTAGAAGATGAGATCAAAAAGTTTCAAGTGACCGAAAATCAAAAAAATTCGTATCTACCTGTCCAAATGATTTCTACGGACACCCAACTTGCTCACGGACATACAACCTTCATATACTCATATACTCATACACGCAGCTGTTATGGTTTTTCCTTGTTTAGACATCGGAAAATCAAAAATTTTCAAAAATTCGGCTTTTTTGCTTTTGCTTTTGGAATTGATGCTGGGCTGTTTCTGCGTATGTAATATTATACTACTTATGCTTAGCTTGGAAAGTACAACATTGGATTTTCAGCCTTCTGCAAGAGTTGGTTCTCGAGAAATATCAAATTTAGCCAAGAACTATTCTTGCAAAAGGCTGAAAATCTAAGTATACTTTTCTAGTTAAATAGTATAACACTACATATGCGACAACAGCCCAGCATCTTTGGAAAAAACATGAAAATTTTCAATTTTTCGATGTTTAGCCAAGGAAAAACACAGCAACTATGTATATGAATGTTTGATGAGGGATCTATATCCGTGAGCATGTTGAACCGTAGAAATTTTTTGGACGGAGTTACGAATTTTTTTGATTTTTCGTCATTTGAAACTCTTTAGATTCCATCTTCGAACTTCACGTGGATATTACTTGGTGTAGAAGCAGTAATCAGGGCCCGGCGAGTCGGTTTCTAGGGTTTCTGAAAAGGAAGTCTCCCCTGATTTATTAGTCTGAAAGAAAAAACGTAAGATAAGAGTGAAGATCCAAATTGGAGCTGAAGACTATGCACGCATGCCCAAGACCTTGGCCTTAGAGCGCGATGTTTAACAAAGCGAGAAGAAATGAAGGCAAAAAACAAACGAAAGGCAATGATATGAAAATGTCTTCATGCTCAGGGATAGATTTTTGACCGGGGAATCCGTCCATGCTAAAAAGATCCGAAACTTATATGAAGTGACGAAAATATATGCTCCAGACGATCTCAGATCGTCTGATGGCCGTCTGGAGAGGATCTTATTTTGGAAAGGTATTACTTCACATAAGTTTTCAAATCTTTTTACATAATCCTTTCGCAAATAATTTTCTATACATACAGTTCAGTTGTGTTGTCATATGCTTCTGTGTGCTCTGTAAACAAGCAATTTGTTTATCTAAGCCTTGCTTTCAAATCGCGCGCACTTTTCGCCATGCACGATAGAGCATGTCAATCGTGTGATAACCTCTCCGAAAAGCTTGTGTTCGACTAAATGGCGCTTATTCTTGGTGCTCGGTTCCGACTCGTCAAAAAGGATTACCTCGCCTTTGCCGTTTGCTTCAAAAACGAAGCCCAGCCTGCTTCCAGACGATCTGTGCCGGGCACTAGCAGTAATCCCATTTTGTACAGCTTGCTTTGCTCTATCGGTTGGTATCCCGTACATGTTTCTGGAATTTGCCTTGTTGCGATGCCATGGCGGGAAATAAAAAGCGACATTCTTTTCTTTCCAACCTAATAGAATTTCCTTGCCAATAGGAATTCATGATCAAAGGCTCTTCTTTAGATGTACTGGCCGCATTCGCTGATTCTCGGCACCGAACTGCCATCTTTTGGCATCATTCTCATCGCATGCGAACGGTTATGCGCTGTGCTACGGCCGGCTGCTTATAAACGTATCTTCATGGGACAGACCAAATATTTTCTCTTGGCTATAATACCAACGGGTGGAATAGTAAGTTTTTCTTGCGTTACTCTTGTTCAGTGAATCGATAGTTTAAGATGAAGGAAAACACCTGAGTAATGTAATGGAGTCAACAAGTACGTCTGACGTTTTGTTTCAAAGGTGCATTAGGCAGATTTCTATTTTGTAAAGTAGAAGGGGGACGAGTGGCGTAGTGGTACGGGGCGCCGCCACGACCAGATCGGACCCAGGTTCAATCTCCATCCGTGGGTCAACCAAACCCTCTACCCGCCGGGGACTCCAAATTGGTACCAGATGTAATTTGGGAGGATAAAAGCACTGACTGGGTAAACGGCTGGCCCTCGCAAGTCATTGCCTCTTCGACTGTGAAGTAGTGTGCGTTCGGCGTATACCGGCAAAGGATGTTGCAGACGTCGAATTCTTTATCCAGTCCTTTCTTAGGATAAGAGAAGGCTACAATATTATCGAGTCTCTTTAGCAGACCAGCGTTGAACTTTGGTATTGGGCATATTTGAGATTCGGCGACAACCTGTAACATTACGACATAGTGACAGCATATTCTAGACTTTCCATACTGTCAATAAGCAAAAGGATTCATACCACAATCAAAAACATCCGCACCTATTACATGCGACTTCGCTCAACCTATTTCATCAACACGTGCATAAGTAAATGGCCTTCCCAAGCGGCAAGCAAAACATTGAAGTTTTCTAGAAGATATAAGCGAATAAATAAAAGGATAAAGGATTCGGCGTCTTCAATACACTCTATGGGCATGCGCCGAACGCACTCAACTTTATAGTCGAAGAGGATACCGAATGCGTGCGGGCCTATCACAATGACTTGGGGGGCAGCCGATCACCAAGCAGTGCTTTCCCCTCAGATTACTTTGATAACAATTTAGCGACCCCGGAGGGTAGAGAGCTTGGTTGGCCCGGGGGCGGGATCGAACCTGGGTCCGGTCTGGTCGAGCGGTACCATTACGCCCTCTCCCTGGTATAAGCGAATTGGCCAGCAAAATCCGAGATTGGATGCTGCGTAGTGTATCGAGTCTCTCGTGCCTGCGCCATGGCAGTTAGGCGATTCGGTAATGCTAGCTGAAGCATATTTTGGTTTAGTTCACATCTACAAATACGGGAGCTGCACAAAATTATAGTTGTATTCTTCTTCACACTAATTTCGAAATTTTTACAGATATCGACGATAGTTGGCGGTTTAAGCGCGCTGGGTAGAGAAGGGGATGTGCTTGTGAAGACACAGCACTGTGCAATCATTAATAGCACAGCAATATGGTAAGTTATCTTTATTTTTAGTCTTTACGAAACCTCTTACTAATCTTACAAAAAAGCAGAGAACTCAAAATATGCAGTATTATTAAAATACAATACTTTCAAGGTACTCAACTTTTCACTTCGTTTTTATCGTACTCGCTTATGTAATATCATTTATATCGATTTTTATTGTCTGGAGAATTTCACAGGTGGGTATTATAGGGAAGAAAAAACTGTGAGGGCTTCATGGAATATTCAGTCTGGGGTGGCGCAAAGATGTTTGAGAGAAAGTCATCATTATTGCTTTTGGTTTTCAATTTTCAACCTGGATCAATTTATAATACAAGCAAAAACAGTTTTGGTTTCTGGCTTATAAGCATACTTTTACTTCTAATTTATCCATGCATTCCAGCAATGCTTAAGCATGGGAACTCCCTTAGTTGAGTAATAAAACCTTCAATCTTGTGTTTGCATCTTTCCTTACAAAAACTTTTCTAGGGTGTTATTTATGTCAAAAAGCATGTAAATTATCGAAGCTTGAATGAAACTCGAAATGTGATTTTCATCAAAGCGCTGTTTTCTTCCTTCAGAAAAACAAGAAATGTTGTGCAAAAACCATTTTTGGCAACGCTAAACTGTTCTATTCAGAAATTCACTCGAGGAAAAGTCGGTGGCGAGAATCGTCTAGGGATAATGCTAATGATCACTGGCTCTTCGATATTTTTAGTTGGCTCCGAATCAATAGTCATGATATTCATCAAATGGGGAGTCTATGCATTCCCTGATCTCGTCGTTGCTTTGACGTACGCTATGCCTGGGTTAGTCACAGTTTCTCATACAATATTCGGATTGTTTCAAAAGATTATTGAGCCCATTTCAGTTTTTTATCATTATTCAACACTACTATTAATTTCATATTCCGTTCAGAATTCAGAAATCAGTTCTTTCGACTGATTAATGTAAAGTGAGTTAGCACGCATATTTGCTCAGAATCACATTACGTTAATATAGGCCGCTGCATGACGAAGGCGCAATATCTTCAAGTACGGACGCGTCTTTATTAGCCGCAGAGCGCATGAGGCGTAGGATTTGCAACGGTGAAGATACGCGCGCGAAGCGTTCGCACCCGCTCACCTAATACTACTTCTGCGCCTTCATCATGCAGTAGCCTTTACATGAAACGTAATAAAACACAATTTCAGGGATCCATTAGCAAATTCATCCAATAGCAAGGGCCATGTATGGGTGCAGCCTCTTCCAAGCAAATTTACTTTCACTATTACTCATCCTTCTCACCCAATCAAAACGCAGATGACAGCAGCTTGAGATCAATTTCCGAGGAGAAAAAAACTGCATAGATGTGCCTTGCCTCTTCATTCCCAAAGTGTAAATATATATCTTTACATATTTTTGATACAATATTTGCTTGTTGTTGCATGGTCATTGGGGAATAAATATGAGATAAGAATTGATTTTGCTTACGTTCAAAGCACTACTTAACATGGGTTGAGGCTCGGCGAGCTCAAATCTTGGGGCTCGTTCGGCAAATGTGCACACAACTCTCAGCTCTAAGCATACCAAGAGAGTGTTTTGCAAAATTTCTATGTTTTTCGCTTTCGCACATGAACAAAAACCTTAATAGAAGCCAGCAAATAACATTCTCAGTGGAGCGTCTTCTCATAAGTAAAATCAGATAAATCAATCTCTAAATAGGTCTACTAGGTGCCATTCCTATCTAATGATTTATCCCTTCTTTGCCGTAAGTCTACATATTAGCAAAGAGAGGCTCAATATACTACAGCAAAAGTAAGAAATAGATTTTTCGGAATTAACAAAAACAAATTTATCTGAAATGTGGGTAAAATTTCGGCCTCGTTTGATTTTTTATACCATTTCTCAAAATTTCACAATCGGCAGATGTCGTTACCACAATGAGTTTTATCGCATTTTTGCAAATCATTTATGATAAGATGTAGTTCTTTACCGTTACCACCGAGCACTCTCCCACCTCTCAAGCGAAAAACTTAAAAGGTATCACCTGATAAGTGCTTCGAATATCGGATAATTGGAAATCTACAAGTGGCTTCTTGTAGAAATTTTCTTGGTTTTGATTAGAGAAGCGAGAGTGTAGTAATCGTTTGCTGCATTGAAAAGCAATCTTTGACCCACCAAATCAGCGTTTTTGGGCACAAATCAATAAGGCTGCAAATGTTTTTGATTCATAGATAAGAAAATTTGAAAGTGCCTTATTGGTGATATCGCATACGAGGCTTTACAAGACTAATGAGAATCATCAAAGTGATAACGAAGCATTATAATGCCTCACATCATGAGATTTTTATACTGACGGTATCTTCTCCAAAAATGTTGATGGTAGAAAAGTAACCCGCTGGATAATGAACTTCAAGATACAAGTACACTATCGAAGAGCCTCATTAACATGTACTGAATACTTCGTGAGCTTTGTCCAAAGAAGTCATGTGTTACAGTTTTGCTTTCCGCGGGGTTACACGATAATTATTATCCTATTTTCAGGTGTATAAGCCGTGGGGAATTATTTTGTTAAATTGATCAGCCCAAACACGTCAAAGGACTTCGCGACCAAAGGACCTTACATTGTGCTGCATATTGCTTGAGAAAATCGTGCGGCATAAGAATCGCTTTTCGAAACACAGCGAGGCCGCTGAGCAGCTCGCTTGAAAATTCGAAAAAGTGCGGCTTATCTATAATATGAAGAATCGTAAGCTGCATTCGAAAACCATCAGATAGCGGGAAATCGCGGTGCGGTCCCGAAGCGCGTGGATACAATTTAGCATCTTTGATTACTAATTCATTAGTACACCTGAAAGTAGGGAACTGTACCTGACCTAGTATGAACACTGAACTCTTGTATATGTAATCGGAGCATGAGCGGTGATTATTTTCAAAAAGCGCTGTTTACATATGATCCAGCAGACTATGGAAAACAACAAATCTCACTTAGTAATGCTTGAACTGGCGAGGGCTGTTCTGAGTTGCTGCTTAGACGCCATTATTTGTGAAAGTACTGCAAAAAGGAGTTACACTTGAAAATTCAACACTTTTGAACAGATCACTAAATGCTTGGAAAACGTGATTCTAATTACTATACATGCTAAATTTTTTGAAGATAAGTGCGAAGATAAGAACATTGCATTTACTGCTCCTTACAGCACATTAGAGAGTTGACTCAACTTTGAGCATACTGTTGGAAAGGAGCAGTGCTGAGGACTTCCTAGAAGGAGCTTCTAGAAAGTGCAACGATGCAAGACTTCCAACGCAACTTAGCGTTTTTTCCATTTCTGAACATGCGATTATTCGCATCAGACAGCGATAATGATAGAATCCAAAGTTCTATCTTAGTTCGGTAAAAAAAATCCAACAAGAGTTATGGCAATGCAGTACTTCCAATGCAACAGTTTCGAGACGTTTCAGCGGCGGAGGAAGCTGTATTATTGTCTATGGACATCAAATCGTGACTCTTCCTGTTATTGAATGTTTGTTTTAACAAAATTGTTTCCTAGAATTTGGCGTTCAAATGTCTCATAAGGACACCAAAATGCGCAAGCATGCCAAAAAGGTTAGGGTATTTAGTTCTATCTCTTTATCGAAAATGGCTGTCAACTAGTATATTTGTTCATGTGTAATCTGTCCTGCTAATTAGGCATATCCTGGATGCTATTCTCTCAGAAAAGCGCTGCTTCACATCATAATAAACCCTGAGTTTTTAGGGGCCGAATGCAAAAAATATTTTGCTTGAAGGAGAAGGCTCAGATACTGGAGCAAGTAATAATCAATATCGCGGTACCTGAAGAACACGAAAGGAACAGCACGGTTTTTCAAACTAATCTTCAACAAATTTCTTCGAGACTTCTGTATGAAGGAAATAACTTTTTGCTGTCGTTACAGCAATGTACTATTTTCCTTTATGTGTTGCTGCAATCTTATAGAAACTTTGGAGCTGATTTGCATGTTTGCCTGCTGAAAAGAACACATCTCAAACAGCCCCCTTCTTTCGCATACAGTCTTAGCATTGATGAAAAAGATTGATGGAAGTTTTCGAACAACCTGATAGAGAGCAAATTAGGAATTTGGAGCTGGAGATCTGCAAAGCGTGAGAGTCTTTCCGTTGCCGAAGAGACAAGAGTATTGAAAACCCATGGAACTCAAAGAGCACTCTGCGCTCAGTGAAATATAGCAATCACCAAAGTTCGCGCCTTTAAATATTTTACGTACGTCCACGATCCGCATGCAATTAAAAGACTTAGTCCGTGGATACAACTATGCAATCTTCCCCATAAGGTGATGCCCCCACAGATTTGTACTTATGCATAAAAAATAGTGGCAAATTTTTCTTCGCCATCAGGCTGTGCATAGGAGAATGTGAACGTTAGTTCTGTAATAACAATTACATAAAGATTCTCAAGTCAGGTAGGTCAATCTTGATGAGGTATAAAGGCCACCGCAAGCGCTTGAAACGCTGATTCCAAATCTGTTGTTTCTAGCTGCACGGTTGTATGGAGGGAGTTACGAGAGTGTTCCCCTCGGGGTAACAGCGACCTATGAGCTATATGTCAACCTTTGTCTACAGGCAATATAGAAGGACTCAACGGGGGCTGGCAAAGTGGTAAGTAAAGGTTGATGAGGAGGAGGTCAGTGTTCAAATCCCGTTGCCCGCAACCCTTTTGCATTCTTTGCATTCAAATTCGAGCTTGTAGACGATTTTCTGTTGCTTAGGTAATGATTTTCTGTACGGACGAATGGACATACCTGTACTTACTACAAACACATATGGATGCGTTTTCGTGGAAATAATATGTGATGTCTGTAATCAGCATGTCTAGTAAACCACCATAGATGAAGTTTGAGCAAGTTCCCACCATATTTTGAGGCCGCTTATTGAAATAGTGCCCAATTGTCCTTGTTGAAAATTCTTATTTAGACAGTAACGAATCATATGAAAGTGTGGTTTTTGGGGCTTTTAGCTGTGGAAAGTATCAGTTTTAGCTTTGGATGCTCGAAATCCATTTATAAGCTCGAATTTACGTCCTGCGAGTAGCAGGACGTAAATTCGAGTAGCAATAGCGTTGCATACAGGACTCAAACCAACCCATGACTCTTTGCTTATCAATCAAGTCACCTTCTTGCCTAATCGTTTTGTACCCCTTTACAGTGCTCTAGACAAGGGTATGTTAATCGGCGCCTCGTTCTGAGGCCCCCGCCAGAGTGCCGAAGCCACGCCAGCGCTACGCCGGCGCTGAGCCAGCGCCGAGCTGTCCCGTTTGTTCGGGACGGGGCTAGCTGACCCTGTGCGGGCAAGGGCTACCGGAGCTTCTGGCAGATTCGATCAATAGTCGGTGCATTTACCTGGCTGAGAACTAGGTCAGCTAGCCCCGCCCCAACGAAATACACGTGTATCGATCGAAACGACACCGGGGCAGCTCGGCGCTGGCTCGGCGCCAGCGCAGCGCTGGCGTGGCTTCGGCACTCTGGCGGGAGCCTGAACAGCACAGTCTCATAACTCCTTCCACAGAACCTTTCCTCAGTTAGAAACTACAAATGGACTCAGCGTTTCAAGCGCTTTACGGTGAAATATGCCTCATCTTGGCTGAGCTGACTTGGGAACCTTTGCTAGTAAGTAATAAAAAGAAAGTCCACTTCTAGAATTGGAGCAAAACAGATCTTGTCGGACACGTGTGCTGCTGCCAACATGGATACCTTTGCTTTAGTACTTCCTACTTTCTTGTTTTGTTGCGGGGAAGGTTCTCCATGTAGCTGCGATGACGGTAAAAGCTCAAAAAAGTGCATCAAAGCTAAGCAGGAAATGGTCAGAACTTAAGCCAGCCATTCCAAAAGCTGTATATCATCGGACTCGTCTTATAACGCTGATTTCAAATATATGTTTTTGTTTGAAAGGGACTATCTGGGAGGAGTTATGACGTTCAAATATGAGAAATATCTTAATTTTCTACGAATATGTTTTCTTGAAAGGCATCTGATGGCGCGGATTTACATTGACTATGGTTATTCTAATCACAAGGAAGAAGCATATTCCAGAAACCTGATTAAGTGTTTTTGAAACCTATTTCATGGAACATGCGCCACAGAACACTTGACAAACCAGATAGTCGCTTGGCAGATAATAAACATATATTAGTGATTGAAGTTTTAAGACGACTCTATATTCAGCATGTTTAGTATGGCTGGGTTAAGTTCTGACCATTCCCTGCTAACTTCTCTCACATGGAAAAGACACTATGTCGATCCAGCCTTTTACAAGAATGGTTCACCTGGCTTGGAACGCCAAG